AGCATACTACTCTTTCCCTTTACAGACTGAACTTAGTGCAGACTTGGAGATGATATCTACTGTGTAAAATTTGGTCCAAGGCTGCAACATCAATGGTTTGTAAGACTCTCCAAGCATGGAAGGAAGGTTCATAAAGGTGTCTTCCACACTTAGCTCTAGAGCAACTCATGAGGTGAATAGGTTATGTAATTGTTGAACTATCCTCATAGTTTGATCATCCAATCGAGGAGGGTTGTTCAGACTTATCTCCTTGCGAACCTTCCACAGTAATTGTGAGTAGCATCCAACAATTAAGATGTATTCTACCTTTGCTGTTCAAAGAGCTATGGAGTTCTACTTCTTGCTTGCTCAAGAGATGAAACAATTTCCCAAGAAGTGACACCCTCCACTTTTTCTCTTTCTTTCAACTCTATCTCTAGCATAGTCTGCATCACAGAATCCTACTAACCTAAAGTTTTTGTGTTTCTCATAAAACAAACTATAGTTAGTAAAACCTGCTAGATATCTAAAGATTCTTTTTACAGACTTTAGATGAAACTCTTTAGGATTAGATTGAAATCTAGCATAGAGACAAACACTGAACATAATATCTAGTTTGCTTACAATCAGGTAGAGTAGGAGCCCAATCATGCCTTTGTAGATCGTATAATCTATAGACGTTTCAGATTCATCTTTTGTGAACCCCATAGATGGATGCATAGGTGTGGGCATTGGCTTGCACTCAATCATCTTGAATCATTTGGGAAGTTCCTTGATGTATTTTGTTGATGAATGTAGATCCCTTCATCTGTCTACTTGATCTGTAGACCTAAGAAGAATCTTAGTTCTCCCATCATGCTCATCTCGAACTCAGTTTGCATTAGCTTCGAGAAATCCTTAAAGATAGATTCATTAGTGTGACACTCATTCTAGCCCCAACAGATAATGGAATTAAATAAGGGTGAAATTCGATTAATACTTGTTGGTAAAATGGGTTCACATATAAATTGCCTCCAAAAATCCAATCAAATGAATCAAAATTATAAAACAAAATTTGCAACTACATCTAAACAAAATGAAACGATAAAATCAAAAATGGATTATAAAAATCTAGTCTAGTCTCGCTGCCTTGATGTCACATTATCAGAGCAAATCCATTGCTTCAACTCTCAGTGCCTTGAGTGCTGACCTCATCACTTACTATTACCTAAAATAAAACCAAAATATATATACAAGTGAGAAAAATATGTATTCACCTGTGCGACACAAGAAAAGAATTTCACTCCACATACAATCAACCCATATACAATTCACAATAATAATCAATCACGATAATATTATTAAATCGCAAATCCATCAACTAATATCACCACAACCACATCATAATACAACTCATGCATCATGCTCCTGCTCACATCAATGCATATGCAATGCAATCTCCTAAGAAACATCAATTCAAAGTGCCATACAATGGGAAAACTTCATCAATCTCCTTAGGCACGCCACGCATGGCCACACCGTTTACATCACTTATGGTCAGTGTATAAATAATGCATGCCACACCATTTACATCACTTATAACCGATGTTACACTGTTAATCACCACTTATGGCCGATGTATAAAGATGCACCCCCTGTTAATCATCACTTATGGCTAGGGTAAATGTGTATGCAACATGCACCCATGCTCATGTCATGTCACCTCATCCATTCATCATTTCTATCAATGTCAATGCACAATTAATAATAAGTCACATCCAACCACATTTATACGTCCACTCATCCACACACACGACATTTATACTTAATCATACAAAAGTCATTACTAGACATCATACAATTCACAACCATCATCAAAATCCATCAGTATCATATCATATTTCACAATCCTGCATCAAACTCATTCAATCATATTATAAGTATTATAAGGCATCACTAAGAAATAATAAAGTATCACAAACATGCCAAAAAGGGGTCCCAAAATGTCAAAAATACAAACTGAAACAGAACACCCACGTTGGGTACCACAAATCTTGACAACTTAACTTCTACTCACTATTTTGACCACAACTTGAGTCATACACATCCTTTTTGAGTTATTTCAGCGCCATTAGAAAGATAACATCCAAGGCCACAATTTTTGTGAATAACACAAAGACTAAAAATGTCGTTAAGGTCACCTTGCATGACTGACAACACAAAACTAAATATTTCATGCATTGGAATTGAGACCGAACTTATAACTTGCATAAATCAATCAATTCTTAATATTTTACACGATTCTAGAGTCTAAATTATATCCCCAAGTGTCTACTTTCTAACACAACAAAAGAAAATTGATTTGGATAATTACACAAAAATATATTACAAAAATACTAAGGTATATCCATAAGTAAAATCTCACAATTACTCACTAATTCATATAATTAAGGGTGTTCATCAATCTACAATAACCCTAACTTACAAAGCACATCCCAATGAGATTAATTATCATCTTGATCATCAAATTTATCAAACAATATAACAACCACATTTATAAATCAAAGTAAAACCTAATTGAATCGTCAATTTTAGTGCCAAAAAAAAATGGAAAATCTTAGAAAATTTATCTCCAATGCAATCAATTATTATCCTGACATCAATATATATATCCTATTCGTATTTTTCGTCGGACTTCACCAAGCTAGGCCTGGCTTTAAGCCACAACAAAGAGCACACACAATCTCATGCCAACGAAATTACCAATTCGCCTGACGCCAAATGAAAATAGAGAGCATACAATAATCTCATGCCCAATGAAATTATAATTTCACTCGATGCTAGGCACAAATAGAGACTCCCCAAATTAATTACACCCATCATGATACATTCCACGCTCGACTTAACCCTTCCTATGCTTCACATTCATCAGTATGAATGCAAGCCCGGCGTCAAAGACTCACGCCCAACACCAACGTGTTTTCTAGAAAATGCAAGACGAGTATAACATCACCAAGACTCAAAATCAAACATACACACATCCTTTTATCAATCCAATCGGCCAGAAACACTTATTTTTATCCAAAAACACATTATACGTCATTAATTAATGAAATCACACATCAATTAACAATATCCCAAATTTTTAAGAACCCTAACCCACAAAGACATTCCAATGAATTCAATTATCTATCAAATCATCATTTTCACTAAATAATACAATAAACACAGTCACAATTCAATATAGAACCTAATTGGACTGTCAATTTCGACTTCAGAAAAGAATTAGAAAATCTTAAGAATTTAGGGATTTCTTCTACTACTTCTTTCTCTCTTGTAATTCCACACATGAATTACTTATTTCTCTCCCCCGTACCTTATTGTGACAAGAAGAGCGTTTGAGAAAATCTGAGTACTTCTCCTCAGAGTTCCTTTCTTTTCTCTCTTTTCACCTCAGTCCTTCTAGAACACAAAATGAGACAAATCCCCCTAACTCTGCCTAATCCCTCTTTTAAAAATTCACTGAACCAGGTCAACCCAACTCATTTCCTTTTTCCCATTAAATTAAATAAATTAATAAAATTCAATAAAATTGTCTTATTATTATTTAATAAAAAAATTCTCCATATTTAATTTCAAATAATAATTTTGAATATAATCTAATAATATTTAATTACAAAATTACTCATTATTTAATAATATTTATTTTTCAAAAAATCAGAATGATAGAAAAACAATTGATTCATTTGAATTTTCACTCTAATTAATTAATTGAGCTAGACCCTTAATTAAAAATAAATATATTCCGATATAATTTTTCAAACCCTTTTCTAGAAACTAATAAAAAAATATAAAAAGGGAGCATTTGGGCTGATAATGTAGGTGAAGTGATGTCTTTGAACAACATGTAATATGTAAGCATATCTTTGGATGTGATGAGTGATATAACTCTAGCCTATCACTTAGACATAATCTCCGCGTAAAGATTTTTGAGTGAGTCATTTCTGTGATGCTTCACACGCCAAGGTTTGTAGCTACAATTATTGATTGAAAATTTCATGATATTCATGGCCAATCCAAATTAGCATAGGGCATGATGTATACATGTAATGTAATTGGACCAAATTGTGTTTGGTAAAGTGGCGTGTTTGGTTTTCGTTTACAGGTAAAGTTTAATATTGAGTTTTGTAAAAAAAAAAAAAAAAAAGAAGTAAAATCATTTTCAAGTAAAGTTTAATATAACAGTGCTAATTTTGTAAGTAAACAAATTAGAATAGGTGTTATAATGGTTTGTTATTTTAAAATACAAAAAGGTTTAAAGCTGAAATATTTAATAGGATGCAAAATATTTTCCAATTTGCATACCACCTGAGTCTAATTTTGCACTAGTGTCTCCCCAGACGTGAAAAATAGAGTACAAGTTTTACTTTAGATATATTATATATGAAGAAAATAAATTAAGGTCAAATAATTAAACACACTCATTTATATTATTTTACACTTATAAACTAGCTCGTTCAACAAGTAATTTTACTATTATTCTAAAATTCTAAATTGTGATTGTGATTGTTACGATGTAAATTTATAATAATAAAAATTAATTAAAACTTTTTTTTCTTTCTAATTTTTTACTCTAAACCCTTTTCTCCCTTTTCTAAACGTATCTTACATTTTCCAACACTTTATCTAATTATTATTAGTTATCTCATTTGTTCTTTTAACATCTTATATGATGAAATTTATTAGATTAAAAGATTAAAACTCGAATATGTGTATATTTGTTTTAAAGTGAAATAAAATAGTATTAAGAATCCATTACAGTTGTGTTGCAAAATTTCTAATAATTTAAAATCACACCCAATTTTAAGTCATTGCAATCATGGGGAGCACCGCAAAAGTAATATTGTGGTTGGAACATGTGTTGCAAACCACAATTTAGAACCCTGAATTCTACAAAACACTTTTAATTCAACTAACTAGTTAATTTTCAACTTTCCATTTCTAGTTGTTTGCTAGTTTTGACAAATACTTCCATGAATGAATGCTTAGACATTTTACATAATTAGGATCCCTCAAGCACCTAATGCAACTCATTGATATTCCTGCTAATGTTTGGAAAGCAGATAAACAGAATTCTATCTCACTAAAAAGTTTTCAGTTACTGTAAAATTTCACTCACTCTTAATATCCTTTTTCTTTCCAATTTTTAAACAAAAACAAACCAAAACAGAAAAATAAAAAAAACTGTAGACATATTGGAGGAGAGATTTGCAGGATCATATACTTATTATTAGACTTCATAAACATGTTCAACACAAAAATGAGCACAAGGGTGAAAGATCCCAGAGAGATTCACTATTAGAGTCTTGAACAGTGTCCATGTACTCTTGCACACCATTCATTGCATAAAGTGAAGCTGATATTTGTCTTTCAACTTTCATCCTTTCAAACTCTGGAAGCTCCAAGCCATCTAAATCAGGCAAATTTGCTATATCCATTACTTGTTTGAATGGAAAACGATCAAAAACAGCTTCAAAACCCCATGAAGGATTCTTCTCAGAACCTGACTCAGACTCCATGAAATCGCTCAAATCAGGTCTATAAGCATCATCAAATAGTTGTGTGTGTTGGGTTGTTGTCTCACTAGAAAGTGAGTATTCACATGTCTCACTATTGCTTGAATTAGCACTATTACTACTAGTACTAGAACTACTAGATGTGTTGTTGACCCTTCTTTTTTTCTGATTTCCCACATGATGTATCCTCTTTTGGAAGCAATCCTGTTCGAAATATGGTTGGACACTAAATGTTGACACTTCTCTTAACGAAGATTTGAACCTTAATTCACCATGTGGTGGAGGATTAGTATCTTCTGCTAGACTCAACCCTTGTTGATTGTTGTTGACTACCCTTGTGGCACATGTTTGAGCATCTTGTTCATGTTGTTTGGTTTTGGAACCTTTTCTGGTGTTGAGAAGATTCTGAATCCGTGAAGCAAGAGGGGAGTCCAAGGACACACGTGTGAGGAAGTTGGTGCGTGTGTTGGAACCACGAAGAAGGCATGCAGCTTCATCATAAGCTCTTGCTGCTTCTTCTGCTGTCTCATACGTGCCAAGCCACATTCTTATCTTTTGTGTTGTGTCTTTGATCTCAGCAACCCATTTCCCTGAGGCTCTTTGCCTCACACCAACATACTTGTTCTTGTTTCTGTTGTTCTTTCTCCCTTTGAGTTTGCCTCCTTTTGATGATTTGTTTGGCTTCAAGTGTTGCTTTGGATGCTGGAATTGAATTTCCATTAGAAATAGAAGAAACTTCCTTAGCCCTCACAACTCACTTAAGGTTTGGTTTGGTTTGATTTTCTTAATTTTCATGTTGTTTGCAAGTTTGTGAGATCATAATATATATATGGATGAAAATAGTTGGTAAGCCTTTTAGCAAGTGGGATTAGTATATTGCATGGACATTTCTTGGTTTATTTATTTATTTTTTTAATTGTTGTTGTTGTTGGTTAGTTTTTAAAATAATGCATGATGAAGACAAGTTACCATTCATATTATATTTCTCCTGACTTTATTCGGAAAGACCGCTATACTTGTCTCGTTAGTTGGCTTTGCATTACTGACAAAGTTTTTTGTTTTTTTTTTTCTTTAAAACCAAAATATTTTATAGTAAAAAACAAAAGATTAATTCTTTGAAGTATTGAATTTTTTTTATAAAAAAAATGAGTTAAGAACTTGACGTTTTTTAATAAATGTTTTTTTTTATACATAGATCACTGATTGAACTCCAGATCATGTATTTAATAAGAAATAAAGTTGTCTATTAGTCATATCAAATATATTAATTTTTAATTATAATTTTAATACATTTGTCAAAAGCTATTGTATGTTTTTTAAAAAGAAATATATAAAGGGTTATATTTTTTTTTTCGGTGTATGTAATTAAATAATCATCTTTAAGAAATTTATAACTTTTTTTATTGGATCAACCTTTATATAAATAAAACAATACTTTTTAAGCATGACTCTATGTCTAAGGATGGTTAAACCTTGGTCCTTAGTTAAGGATCAAAAGTGTCAAATTACTTGAATTGACATATTTTAATTATAAAATGACTAATTTCTTAAAATAATTTAATTTATTTTAATTCTTTTTATATATTTTTTTCAATAATTAGGTGTTAAATTACCACACAAAAGCATTTAAATTTGTATAAATTTCTAAATTAAAAAAAAACCTCAATTGATATATAGTAGTACATTTGGAATGATTTTGGATTATAATTTGCAAATTATAATATGATTTAATGAAAAACAAGTTTTCATTTTTATACTTTGTTTAAAATCTAAAATTATATTTAAAAATTATAATCACACATTCACTTTTTTTTTATTCTACTTTCATTGTATTTTCTCTATCTTTTTTTTTTCATTCTTTATCATATTATTTATCATTTTTTTTATTTTTTTCCTCAACTTTTCTTCTATCCATTCTCAATTCAGCCAAAATAGAATACATGTTAATCTCCACCTATTATATTGAAACCCAATTATATGTTATTTTATATAAAATTCAACTTATACGTACTATCAAATCAAAACTAATTTTTGGAATGTCGAAATCTATTTCAAACACACATTTATATTTTAATTCTTGTAATATATAAAAACTCTTTAACTTAGTAATAATTATACCACAAACTGAATTAGTCATTAACTCAATAAATTAGAGAATATGCATGACAAAAAAAATGAACTTATATTATGCATATATTATACATGTGTACAACTATTATTATTTTTAATTTTAATGAAAAAATATGGACATTTGGTAGGGTAAAAGAATAAAATCAAATACTTCTACTTAATCACTTATTATATATGTGTGTGCGTGTATGTATGGTTAGAATACCAATAATATTCGTACACTTATATTAGATGACAAAATGAGTTCAATTGTCTTGATGAACTTGTTAAACAAAAAGGATTGTTTCGAACTCACTTTTAATAAAAGGTATATCTTAAATCGTTGAGTTTTTGAATGGTTCAAGAGCACTTTAAGTTAAATTTTTTGAATGGTTCAAGAGCACTATGAGTTGGATTCTACTAAAAAAAAATTCCTTGTATTTAATGTAATTCTTATTTGTTATTGATAGTTGTATTTGATGTTTTATTTATTTAAATATTTCGTTAATTTATATATCTTATATTTATTTAATAAGTCAACTTATAAATTATTCTTTCATCATTTTTTTTAAGTTTCAGCTAGCACTCAACCCAATATGCACAACTCACCAAAGATTAAGGGTTGCTTAGACAATTTTTTTTTATATAGAATTACTTCTTTAAGAGAATAATAAAAAAAAATGAAATAAATTTTTTTATAAACTAAAATTCGTTTATATATGTTAAGAATAAGTTTTGATTAAAAAAATTAATATAAGAGAACTTCTACAAATGAGTTTCTCTACAAACTTATTTTTAATTTTTACATAAGGATTGTTTGGATAAACTTTTCTGGAAACACTTATGAGAAAAGAAAATAGAAAAAAAATTGAAATATTTTTTTCTAAACTAAAACTAGTTTATGTACAAGTTAATTTGTAATTTTTTAGAGACATTATTTAAGAAAGTTTCTACAAATTAATTGAAAAATCTTATTTAATTTTTCCTTTCCATTTTTTTTTCTTAGAAGTGTTTTAGAAAAATTGTATGTAAACAGATACATAAACTTATTTTAACTTATAAATAAACTTGTTTTATTTATATATTTTTCTTTAAGTACTTATGGAAAAATTTATCTAAGTCTAACCTCTTTTTTTCGGTGACCAAAAATGGATTGAGTTAAATTGGATTGAATTACTCATTTTGTTCATCCTATTATTTCTATCTTTTTTATCTTATTTTTTTTCCATTATTTCTTCTTCTTATTATATTATATTACTAATTACCAATTATATTCATAATATAATTTTCTCTCTCTCTTTTTCTCCCTTGGCTCCTGTTATCTCTATTTATAAACCATTTTTCCATCTATCAATGGTCAATAAATTAAAATGCCATTTTTGTCAATGCCAAATTTGACAACAAAACCAAGTGAGGAAAATATAAAACGATTGAGAAACTAGTTTTTGTCCCTTCTTTTGGCCCAAGTCAATGATCAGAAGCTAGTTTTTGTCCCCTCCTCCCATCATTTTGTGTAGGTCAAGCATTTGAAAAGATATTGGTAATGGCATGAATGGCCTCCACATGGAGCCTCCAAAATGATCCTTCATATGATGCATCCGTAAACTAGGACTCAAATGCCCATGCTTGGCTCTAATTAAGGTGGACCATGTCAATGCATCCATAACACATGATTTATATTATATTATGTTATAATTTTTAAATATTTCTATAATGTTATTATTTTGATTAAATTACACACCAACACTCATCGTGTTTCATGAAATTACATTAACACACATTATTCTTTTAATATTTTTTAAATAAGTAAGGAGAGATAATAAGTTTGTTTGTTTAAACTTAAAAAAAATATTTCTAAAAAATTTTATTTTATAAATAACTCTTTAAGAGACAAATTATAAAAGCTACTTTTTAAGAAAAATAGAAAACTACTATTAAAAAAAAAGTAAAAAAAAATGACCTATTTTTATTTAAAAATGTTGTTTTTATAATTTAAACAAACAAATCCAATGTAATGTCTAAAGGGTGTAATATTTTTCAATTAATTAAAGGTATCATTGGTAAAAACAATGGAGTGTCTATGCAATTTCATAAAACCTCAATATTGAATATAGTATAAATTAATTTATTGTATTATTTTTTTTGTTATCTTTCTCTATCACGTTAATTTATCCTCACGTCACTAACAAAACCCATCTATTCCCCCATCCTTATATACACATATTTGCCATTTTCTACCTATTCAACAATATTGATGTTTGTGATACACTAGACATTGTCGTTGTCTTCTTTGTTAAATAAGAAAGACAATAAAGCCAACCTAAAAAATCCTTTTCACTTTGAGTTAATCAACAAAGGTTTTTGTTTTTCTTTTCAGTTTTTTTTTTTAATATTTTTTTTTCTAATGAACTGAAATTTGATAAGTAATTGCGTGTGCCACCAAAGTGTTCACATTGAATCCCATTTAGACGCGAATGAAGATGTAGGGAA